AAAGTCAATGCCTGGCAGAGTTGCTTTTAGTAAGTTAGCTTTAAAAACATAGCTTGAAAAACTGAGATTTTTTTTTCAAATACTAGGAATGACTTTAACCTAAAGATTCACAAATAATACATGATGATTTTTTTAATCTGGCATTCATAAATAAAAAAGTGAATTAGTAATAAAGAACTAGCAAGTCCACCACTCATTAAAACAAAAGTAAAAATTAAGAGTCCAGTGGAGGGCAATGAAAATAGATAGGGGGCTAAGGAAAGGCTGAGAAAACTGGGCTTATTTAGTGTGGAAAAGAGAAGACGGGGTGGGTGGGGGGAAGTTAATAGAAGCCTTCAACTCCCCAAAAGGTAGTTACAAAGGGGATGGAGCTAGACTGTTCTCTGGTGGCAAATGACAGAACAAGGAGAAATGGTCTCAAGTTGCAGCCAGGGATGTTTAAGTTAGATATCAGGAAAAACTTCTCAGTCTTCTTTGGCAATTCCTCACAGTCAAGGATGATTATCTTATCTGTAATGAGGCCTATTCAAGATCAACAAACCCTACTGCAGCTCAGACATGTGTTTCTGTGCAGGGTATCTGACACTGGATTTTTTACTTGGTCTGCGACACTTTTTGCCACTCCAACTCCATGCTTCTGCCCCCCCTTATGCTGTTCTCCTTCTTGTGGGACTGCAGCAGCTTCTCTGGAAGTCATCAGGAGTCCACCCTCTCTGCAGTCAAGCCCCTTTAGCCAGCTCAGCCCAGGGTTTTTATAGTTCTGTCCTCCCCCCTTCCGGTCACCTGACTAGTTGGCAGGGCTCAGATTTAACCCCTACTCTGCCAGCAGGCTGTGCCCGGAAAGTTCTGGTCTTAAAGGGGCTGGTAGCCTGCTTTCTGGTAACAGGCTAGGATTCCCTGTTACATGGGGGGGGGGGGAGACTGTTCTGATATTGACATCTGTAGCTGGCCAGTGACTGTGATCTTTCCCTGAATCATAGTGCTCTGGGGAAGGGATGTAGAAACAACATATAAGGCTGTGTTTGAAGTGATCCGTGCCTTTTGTGAGCTGTATCTTTTGGACCAGCAGCATCTGAAAGGCTCTGGCTTGCTATCTAGTCTCTTGGTAGCTAGTCTTTCTCTTCTGTGTTTTCCCTCACAGGGTGTCATCACTGTGCACTGCAGGGAAGCACAACATATATTACAGACACATACACATTTTGCAGCACACCAAGCATTATGAAGTGTTCTGGAAAGGCAAGTCCCAGATCTTCTGGCAGGGGAGGGAGAGGGGGCAGAGGGAACCCTGCAAGTCCCCCCCCCCGAACCCCCTCCCCCAAAGAACAACATATAGATGCACCCTCTTTCCTAGCAGCAATGAGTCTTCTGCTGCTAGTGGCACCAAGGAAGTGGGAGCAGCATCTGCACCTGCACCACCTTCACTAACACCAGCAATAACAACCAGCCCCAGCATGACCATCTCCACCCCAATTTCAGTTCCCAGCATGAACCTTCCAGTGCCACAATAAGAGGTGGATCTGGAAGCAGTGGAGCTGAATGCTATAGCAAAGGAAATTCTGGGGAAGGAGGAGGAATCTGAGTTTGTGCTCCACACCTCTCAAAGTTCCCCTAGAGGCAGGTCTCTTCTGGAGAGCACTTTGGAGGAGGTTGTGGGGGCAGGTGGCTCAGCTCCTTCTCCTGTTGTGCCCCTGCCTGGTAAGGATGAGGGATAAGGTAGGATCCCCATCCGCAACCCACAAGTGGGTGGGTAGTGTAGTGTGGGATCACTTTGAGGTGGCAGATGATCCCAGGTATGCTACCTGCCAGCACTGCCAAAAGCAGATCAGTCGGGGCAAGGACAAGAAACATTTCACCACCACAACGATGCTGCTGCAGCTCAGGAGGGAGCAATCCCTTGCCTTTGTTCCTCCTCAGCCTGGCACCAGTGGGAGTGTGCCCCAAAAGAAGTCCTCCTCTCGCTCCAAAGCCCCCATTCCCAAGAAGCAGAGGCAGGTTACCCTGGACCAGTGGGGGAAAGGCAGAGACAAAGGGGGGCATGTAACCAAGGACTAGTTATTCCACTTAGGAACTGATGATTCCACTTAAGAACAAGTTTCTTTTTCACTAAGTCATGTAATAGGAAGGGGGCGGCAGCAGGGTAGAGGAAAAATTCCTGTAATCCTTGCAAAATGAACCTATGGGAAGCTACATAGATCTAGATAAGGAAAGGAGAAATTAAGCAATGAACTATTTAAGTTTCATCTTCTAGTAAACAAAATCACGGAACACCTTTTGTGTATCCTTAGTACTTCCTCTAGATGGCAGCAGCATAATCTAGATGGAAATAAATGCAAATGGAAAAAAGTGAAGAATTTTTTTTCCCCCTCCTTTTCCTAATCTCCACTAGATGACAGCAGCAAGAACAGATTGAAACAGCCAGTAACAGACTCATGGAGAAAACAATTTTATCCCTCCTGTTAAACCCACAGAGAGCAGAACAGTTAAGAAACTCTCATTATTGGCTGTTTTCCTGGAAATTACAGTACTTTCTGCTTTTAGGCTTCCTGCCCACCAGCCTCAATAATTTACAAAAATACATTTCTACATTGTATGTGATGCAATTTAAGCAAATGTGACTAGAAAAAACAGATAAAGCATTGTTGCTTTAATGTGAATAAATACTTCATACTGTAAGGCATTAATCTCCTAAAACACTTCTAAACACTTGTTTTATAAACTGAATGCATCTGATCTTTCAGAATAAGAGCCTGCCTACTTTAAAGCTTCAGCATGTCAGCAGTCTTAGTTAGTAAATGATTGTTTCATGCTATGCTTAAAATACAATTCAGTTATATTGCATAGATACTAAGTTCATCCCTGAAGCATAAACCTATCAAAGCTATGCAGTTTTTCTAAGGACATGGTTTCGATCCTATTTACATAACATTACAGAACAACGTGGTGATTAGGGTAGATGAAAGTCCTGTTTTAACCAGATCATAAAAGTGATGTTGGATGTAGTCAAATTTGAAACTTGTTTCAGCTAGAGCAAAAGGGAGAAAAACATAACCTTGTCTTGAGGATGAGTGCAGCCTAACACTAAGGAAGGCAACTATTCTAATTTACACCAACTGAATTATTCTCTTCAAACAGCGCATTTACATGTGTGCTTTACTGAGCAGTAGACTAATTTGCTGTGCAGTAAAGTGTCACTGTCTACACGTGTGTGGCAATTAGGCTGGTGTAGATTAATTTACTGTGTTGTGACACAGTGCTATCACAAGCACTATCTGACACTGTCTACCCAAATGCATGTGTAGATGGTGTTAGCTGGATTAGTTTACTTCAGTTCAAATTGCACTGGACTTCATTCAGTTGCATTAATTGCATGTGTAGACACACCCAGTAAGCTTTCCATTGTCCATGAATGTGAGCATCCAGTGCCTTACAGCCTTACCCTGACCTGTTTGTAAGCTGCCCTAACACATTGCCTGTATGGAGTGGAGAACATCTGGCATAAAGTCAGCTACTCAGGTTTCATGACACTGTAAGATTCTTTCAGGTCAAGGGAATCCCCAGTTGCCCAATCAGGGTGGCTTTACTTCCCTTTTTGTGAGACTTGAGCCAGGTAAAGGGGCTTGTCTTATGCCAAGAATTTGACTGATTAGTACAGATGAAGTGAAGAAGTGTAACTTGTGCACGTAGACTGCATCCATACAAGCACAGATGTTTGTTTCCCAGGGGACAAGGTGTGCCACTGCTACTTGTCCTCAGGGAACGCTCATGCCATGCGCACTCTGGTGCACGTCAGGTTACCCTGGGTGGGATAGAGGAGGCTGAGGCCAGCAACTGTCCTGGCTGCAGCAGCTTTACCTGGGGTCCTGGGGGCCTTGAGATGCTGCCGCCATGGTGCTCCTGCAGCTGGGAGCCTGGTCGGCCGCCAGAACATGGCTCTGGCTAACCAGGCTCTAGTCTGGTGTGGCGTACGCTACCACCAGGTGCACTGCTCTGTATTTTTTTCTTCAGGCTTTTCTGACCCTGGAAGATCCCAGGATCAACTCCCCACCCCTTGCTTCAAGGTAGCAGTGCAGGGAATGTCTGCATGTGCAGTGTCATGCTGCAGACAGGTGTGCAATACCACACGTCTGTGCTCATCTGGACAAGGCCACAGAGTTTTTGTCCACAACATATTTGCCCATTTATCATGCATTTGTATTACCCTCAATGATTCTGAGACACGCACTCCTTTTTTGCCTATGGTAGCTTTATACTTTCAGAAGTTAAATATTTGCAAATCTACATCCTGTCACATGCACTGAATTCATTCTTTATCAATTCAATGCAGATCCTGTATTCCATTTTCTGTCTTCAACTCCAGAACTCCTGTTCTGCCTTCTGTGATATGGCATTTAATGAAAGACAGGTCATTTCTTTAGTAGGTGGTACACATGTTCCATGTACTTTGTCGGAGGACAGTAAGAGGTTTTGAGGCAACTCTGAAGCAATATTTGAGAATCTTTTGTAATTCTTAGGATCAAAGTACAAGGCCCACGGTATTTTTTTTTCTTCAAGGAAAAAACAACAACAACCCAAGTATGAAGCTTTGTGAGAAGTTTTAAATGCATAATTTTCTAGAGTGCCCACTGTTTTATGTGTAAAATACTCTGAGATGTCTTGAAAGCTATGCTAGCACACTGTTGTGGTATCATAGTAATTGGGTTAAATCGTAAATACGTGATGTGGTATTTTGCATAGTATGTGGACTGAATGAAATAACAAACCTTTCAAAGTACTGGCAATGTGCTCTTTGCAGCTCAGATTAGGATCTAGCCCAGATCAGTGATCAAAAGAGCAAGGCACTAAAATGGCCAACTTATTTATGAACTATGCAGAGAGGCACTGTAGTGCTCAAGCATATTTACTTCGAGGATCAGTTCCTTATGTTGCATAGGAACTTTCTAAAATGTTGATGTCAAACAAATTGTGACAACAATTTTGGAATTCAAACAAAACAAAGGGGAGTATTTTCATAAAAAAAATTTATTGGAAAATTTCTCCTTGACAGGACTTGGCTGAATCAAGTAAATAAAATGCTAACAGTGACTATGGCAATCAAGATACAAACAGCCAATACCGTAAGCAGAATAATTCGGCAGTATTTGGAAAGTTTCTTTTCTCTCTCTTTCTTTTTCAACAAGGTATCATACCCAGGAGTATAAATATCCCCCATCCAAAACTGTAGATCGTTAGGATTTTCCTAAAAGAAAGATCAGAAAATGAACTCAGTTCCTCTGTCTGATACAAAAAGTTTCTTAGAACATAGTCAGGAGTATTTTGACTGTCATCAGTTAGTGATTAATAGATTTAAGGCATCACAGCACAAATCAGAAGGGCTTATACTTGAGCCATTGGTCACATTAGCTGCCAAATGCTGCAAATATTGTCCCACAGAGGAACATTAAACCCACAGCATTCAGCCAGGAACCAAATGTAGGACACCAGCCGTTGAAATGTGATAAAGAAACCCAGAACAACTCTCCTGATGTTCTCATGCTAATTCAGAGGTGCTAATTTACAAATGCAGATCTGAGTTATTTTTTCAGCAGTGGGAACACTAGAAAAAGCAAACCCGCACATGATTTATGCTACCCCAAAAGCAGGAAGGAGTGAGTGTTGCAGGTCTGGCTGTAGGAAGGCACATATTTAAAAATTAAATTGAAGCATAATTAATCTATTTAGGTATTTATACCATCAACATATCATCTTAGTATCTCATAAACCTTTATGAATGTTCCCTGTATTTGATACCTGTGAGGTAGGAAAATATAATATTAACCACATTTAAAGATAGGGAAACTGAGGCACAGAGCTTCAGAGAAGCAAACTGTGGAAAAGTAAGAACCTCACTGAGATCTTCAGAGCCTCTACCCCAAGACTATCCATCCTCTCATGGTTGTACCCATCCAGATGTGCTGTCTGTACAAGAACACATTCACATTTACTTCTGGACCTGGAATCACCACCAGATGAGTAAAACATTGTACTCCATTGGCGACACATGCGGGTGCACGTGCACCTCCTGAGATTGGCCGTGCGCCTCGTGGAAATGCCAGCCGCAAAACCAGAAGTGCCACCGGAAGTGTACTTCTCGTTTCACCACTGGTGATTTCGGGCTCAGCGATCATCCACTGGGGGCCCTACCCTGCCAGTCGGTGATCTGGTGCCGCCCTGACTCGGGAGGCACCAGTCACCCATGTTGTATTCCTTAATTCAGGACCAAATACATAGCACAACATCCCAACATGATTCTGCACTACAATACCTTTATGCAAATAGCCAGATTAGAATGCAATGATTGTCTGTCATAATCTTGAACAGTCCAGGAAGGGCATTTTTTCTTCTCCTCCCAGGCATCATCAGTTCGAATGCCACTGTACAAAGGATTGCGCTTGATGGTGGATTTCAAGGTGACAGCTGTAATGTGTTTACCAAGAACTTTGTCAATCGTTTCCGGGTTGACTGCACTGAATTCTAAGTCAGGCTGCTCAGTGACATTTCTCTTTTCACTCTGTAAGACAGTTAGGACACAAATTGTCTATCATCTTTGTGATGCAGATGCCCCTCCATATTCACCACCTGTTGTATAGGAGTAGTAGCATTTTGTCCTTGAGCAAGACGATATAGCTCAGTTGACTTCACTGCTGTTGAACCTCGTGATAGCTAACACAGTCCCTGTTCTGCACCCTCAGTTTCAGGTAATACAGTAAAACCAATGTAACAAGCTCTAAAAATTCTATATCTGTCTATGGGAAAGCTTCCTTTGCTACAGGCATTATGGAAGCACAAACCTTGACAACATCTTAGAAATCCCTCAGTAGCAATAATAATTTAATCACATTTTTTTCAGTGGGTGAAAAAACCACCACTACCGGGATCTGGACCAAAAAATCTTGGAGAAGTCAAAAGCAGCTGTTTTACCACTAAATGAAGAGTAGCTGTCCAAAGAGCTGACAAAACTGTAGTTATAATCATCAGCAAAAGCTATAATTACTAAGCACTAAGACCCTTTCAGTGTGCTAAGAAGTACAATTCCAGTTCACCATACAGTTTCAACTTTTTTCTGCTATTTTCAATTTAGTTCTAGCAATATGCTAGCAGGCCCAGAAGTCCATGTACAATACAGTCATTGCATCCCTTCATTCCAGAATGTCCTATAGCAGTGCCAGAATTTCCTCTTACAGTATGCATAATGTACAAAAGGAATTCTCCTGGCATTACCCCTTAACTCTTTAGAGTGTTTGCCACTGGGAACTTTGATCTGAGATAACTGAAGTCTGATGGTGACTTGTGACTGCATTGTAACGAGCACTGGAAAGCAGATAGAATCAGACAGCCCAAACTCCTCTATATTTAAAAAGCACAGAAAAACAGCCATACACTGAATACTTTCCCCATCCTTCATAAAGGTGTAAAGCAGCTGAGGCAAACAAGGGGAAGCAGAAGAGCTTCCCCTCGAAAGATTTCCCATGTAAACAGAATTCTATAAAAATGTCCCTTTGAGGAAGCATCATTAACAATCTTATCACTTGATCACACGCAAGTGACTAAGCATGCTGCACATCAATAATTATCACAATCTGGTATTAGCGGGTGGGTGGATCCCCAGCACCTGTGAGTCCCTCTGTTAGCTCACAGTTTCCATATGTCATCCTTTAGCTTTGACGTATCCCCTGTTGATATTATTCCTCACATTGCAATTATAGTTGGCACTATAACCCTCTGGCTTTTGCTGGCCTGATTTCAGTTGAGCTGATGTTTTAATCTGTCATTTCTTGCTGCTTGCATGTTATTTTGTTTATTTCTTATTTTAAAATCTTCAGCAGCTTTAATGATGCATCCCTGAGGCTTGCTAGTTGGTTGAATATAGGGAACATTTTGTTGAAGAAAGTGAGCTGTCTCACCAGGGGATGCATGTTCTCACCAAGCTAAAATACTGTGAAAAGTATGTGACTTGACAGTAATTTTTAAATCTGTTTTAAATAAAAATGCTTTTAAATTGGAACAGAACTAGTTCAAAATTTGCTCATGAAGGCAATACTTGTCCCAAATGTCCCAAATAATCTAGCCCCCTGTTGGGCGCTTGTACAGACCACGGGGGTTTAATTCTGCTCTGTTCACCAGGGCACCTCTTGGGGTTACAAGGAACAATGGTCACAAACTGACAGAGAGCTGATTTAGGCTAGATATCAGGAAAAACTTCTTCACAAGTAAGGGTGGCCAAAATTTGGAATGGGCTTCCAAGGGAGGTGGTGCTCTCCTCTACCTTGGGGATCTTTTAAGAGAAGGCTGGATAGACATCTGACTGGGGTCATCAGACCCCAGCACTTTATTTCTGCCTAGGCAGGGGATTGGGCTTGATGATCTGTTGAGGTCCCTTCTGACCCTAGCATGTATGAATCTATGAATTTGGTTTAGTTATCCCTAAATTGGAATGGTGTGTTTTTAAAAACCCACAGTTTCCACTGTTTCAGTGTTTAGAGAGGATTAAGCTGAATGAAACTCCTGTGGTGTGTATACAAGGGTGGGAGCCTGATCCTTACCTGCCTCTCTGGTGGCAGGGATGAGGGTGAGCTGCCAACAGGCTAAGCAGTCCCTGAGCTCAGTGGGGGCCTGGTGCTTCTCTTCACAGCAGTGGCAGCACCCCCCAGGTGGCACCCTCCTGCTGGCACCCAGGTCGGGCAGTCCTGGGGGGCACCACAGCCATGGAAGGAAGCACTGCCCCCCCCCATAACCACAGAGGGAAACACTGGGCCCCTGCACAACTCAAGCAGGAAGGCTTCGGAGAAAAAAAAAAGATCAGGCTCCTTGCTACTTTTTTTTTTCTTCAGTCAAGCCTGCCTGCCTGCCTGCATGGGCTGCCACCAGGTCACACAGCCCCTAAGCTGCACGGCGTCTGGTGCTTCTCTCTGTGGCTGCAGTGCCCCCATGACCACCCAGGCCAGGTGCCAGTGGGTGAGTGCCACCCTGTGCACTTCCAGGACCCCATGCACTCTTGCATTTTGTTAGGTAGCAAACTAAAACACCTTGGAGGTTTTTTATCTTCCTATGTTACAAAGTCATTTTCAAATGGAATACGCTGCAAAGCGTGCGAACAGCAATGCCATTAAGAGAGAAAGAAGTGGGGTAAGAGTGCTCTGAAACCTCCATGGCTCAGCAAAGGCATTCGAGAATGCCTGAGGGCCAAAAGGGAGGCATACACCCGGTGAAAGGGAGGGGCTATGACCAAGGAGAAATACTCCTCCTTGGCCTGTGAGTGTAGGAGGGCTATTAGGAAGGCCAAGGTAGGGATGGAGCTCAGGCTAGTGACCAGGATCAAGGACAACAAAAAGTCCTTCTTCAAATACATTGGGAGTAAGAAGAGGGCACGGGGTAATGTAGAGCCCCTGCTAGACTCAAATGGTAATCTTTTGGCTACGCCAGACAAGAAAGCCAAAATTTTTAACAAGTTCTTTTCCTCTGTTTTCTTGGACAGGGACCAGGACAGCTCTCCCACCACAGGTAGGGGCAATCTTGGGGATAGCACTGCCAGGCCTTGGGTCTGTGCAGATGTAGTTAGGGATCTTCTGGAAGGGCTGAATGTTTTCAGATCTGTGGGCCATGATGCCCTCCACTCATGGGTGCTGAGAGAGCTGGCAGGGGTCATTCTATGCCTTTGGCCCGGCTGTACGAGCGATCATGGTCCACAGACCAGGTGCCCGGAGATTGGAAACTAGTTAATATGGTCCCCATTTATAGGAAAGGGTGAAAAGAGGACCCAGGAAACTATAGGCCCATAAGCCTCACATCGGTCTTGGGGAAAATCCTTGAAAAAATTATCAAGGAT